TGCTGGAATTTCAGGAATGGTTGTTGGAAAAGTGAGCACATGATGCTCTATACGAAGAGAGTTGAGCACGTGATGACCTAAGGAGTGGATATAGAGAATTAGGGTTTCAAAGAGAGGAATTATGATATTTCTTAAATAGACAAAAAGAGTGAGGTGCTGGACAGCTAGGTGTGTGATGCCATAGAGAGAAATTTAGGGGAGTGAGTCCCTCAAGAAAGAGAACTGGGCACGTGATGCCCCTATTGAGATGATATTTTTTCTGCCTTATTTTTTTTCTTCTTCTTTTTTTTCCCCTTCTGTTTTTTCCTTTTGGGAAAGGTATGTGAAAGGAAAGAAGAAGAAGATGACGAAGTTGGTAGTGGAAGGAGATAAAATCTGAAGGAGATAAAATCTGGAGAAGATAAAGGAAAAAGAAGGCGATAAAATCTAGACTTATGTGAAGGGAAAGAGGAACATATATATGTAGGAAGAGGAATGAGATAAAAACTACAAACATTTGAAAGGAAAGAGGAATAAAGTTCTGTTGAGTAAGTAATTAAGTAGAGAGAAAATTAAGGTTTTAAGATGGTAAAGACAAACCATCAGAGAAGTTATAGAACCTTGTGGTAGGGTTTGTTTGGAGAAGAATGATTGCTGTTTGCTGAAAGAAGATTGAAGAAGACGATGTAGGACGAGGAAGGAGATAAAATCTAGAATTATGTGAAGGGAAAGAGGAATAGATATGTAGAAAGAGGAATTAGATAAAATCTAGAGTTATTTGAAGGGAAACAGACAGAAAGTGCCATAGAATAATTAGTTGATCATAGGGAAAAATTAGGGTTTTAAGAAGGTGAAGACAGAGGTGTTGCAGAACCTTGTGGTAGGGTTTGTGTGGGGAAGAGCAACTGCTGTTTGCTGAAAGAAGAATGAAGAAGATGTTGGTAGAAGATCCATGAAGATCTAGGGTTTTCGAACTGCTCTAGTACCATGATGGAAAAGCTTGAAGAGAAAGAGAGAGAATAAGATAAAGAAGTGTGTGAAATCCCCCTTGATCTAACTTGGGGGTGCTTGCCTCCTTTTAATAAGTACATATAGTTGCATTGTACATATATTCCCTTGACTATGATAATTATGTCAACATGGTACAGAATAATATATAAAATGACTACAGTTGTACATTATACATTTAAGTACATATTCTCAACATTTTCTGGTTAGTGGAACTCTTTTGCTCTTGTTTATGATCTTAGGCTATTTCATTGAACATGTTGCTCCACATGTGGGCGTTTCATTGTTCTATTTTGATTTCTTTATTTTTTTCTAAGTGATGAACCAAGGATTTCCTATAATTTAAGCATGCACTGGATCTTCAAATTTGTTTCCTAGGCTGCCAAATTTTGGTAGTACAGGTATTGATGGTAGACGATGAGTTAGTTTTGTTGGGTAAAAATGGGAAATTTCAGCAGCTAAGCAAACTGATGAAACTCACAATTAGCTTGCTGGAAGATATTACAAAACTCTCCCATTTCCCATGTTGTGAAGTTGCCTCCCTCTTGAACCATGTTATCTTTCTTGCCTTTGTTAATTACTACCCATGCTATTTTTTACTGCCTTGTTTTGATTCGTTGAATGAAGTTTGTATTATCTTGTTTTGTTTTTTGTGAACTCATGTTTTGCCAACATTATTAGGACCGGACCGGAAATTAAATCGGTGGAGGCACCAATTAAGTCGACCTTGACCTGTTCACTGATCTGGTTAAAATTTTAAAAAATTAAATAAAAAAATACAAGAATTGAAAAAATAGAAAAAGTTGGAAAAAAACTGAAAAATATTTAGAAAAATTGGAAAAATTCAGAAAATTATTAGGAACAACAGGAAAATTATAAATTCATAAATACATATGATTAGAAGCGAAAATTACATAATTTGTAAATATAACACGCTGTATCACCTGATGCACTCCACTAGGCCACTAATTCATCAAGCTATAACCAATTATACAATGAAATTAGTTAAGTAGTAAAGTGAAACACATCATATCCAACTATCCACAATTAAATGTTACAATGCCTCATATTGGCATACTTCCTCTCACTCTCATAAAGCCATAAGACTCATTGAGTCCAAGAATAAAGTCATAGAATGAACTCATGAAGGAACAAATATCCAATGCAAATGCTACTGTTAGATTTTTATATCACTGATTATAATATACATAAATGCTAAAGCAAATAAATCCAAGTCCTATGGAGTCTCCATTATCTTCATCTTCATCGTCATCTTCTTCTTCTTCCTAATAATTTCGACCTTCGTAATATCATTGGAATCGTCTCCACTAAGACCTTCTAAATCATCGTCTCCACCACCTATGAGAAATATTTTATATTACTAAGTTATTAAATTAACTTGCTATTTACTGAGAAGCATATACCATAAGAGCCTTGGAATCTTGCCAAGTTATTATTTGCTGATGAACCAAATCAAGTGGTTAAAGTTGAACAATCAAAATGTTAAATTGGCCTTCTTGTGGTGGTTCCATCTCCATCTGGTAATCTAATTGCCCTCCAAAACTGGGTGCTTTTGCTAGATGACCCATTCTTCAACAATATCGATCTTCTCTGTGTCAATTGGGCTGAGCAATTGGCTTATTGAATGGTCTTTTATTTGATGCTGTTTCACTAGTTTAGGACTTTAAGGAGTAAGGTTTGCTTACCAAGAAATAGGGGAGGTGTAGATATCAACCTAGCCTTATTGGGAAAATGGTTGTAGAGGTTTGCCGCAGAAGATGGGCAACTGTGGAAAGAGGTCATCTTAGCAAAATATGGGGTAGAAGGACGAGGATGGCTATCTTATTGCCCTCTTTTATAGGGCTTCTGGGACATGAAAGAGTATAGCCAGGATCAAGCAAGAGTTAAAGGGAAACACCAGGTTCAGAATTGATTCTGGTGATCTTGTCAAATCCCACAATCGATTTTGGAAGGATATATTGTTGGGGGATCAATCCTTTGGAGAAAGATGACTTTCCCTCCTTGCCAAGGCAAGGATTGAAGACATGTCATTGGGGGAAGTACTCAGGGGTAATGAAACTGTTTGGTCAGCTCAATTTTGAAGGGCACTCTTGGATGAGGAACGTCAGCAAGCTTATACTGTGCTTCAATACTCTCCATCAGTTCTTTTTCTCCAACTTGGGCCATGATAAACTGGTTCAAGCCACGGTGGCCACTGGGAATTTCTCGGTTTCTTCTTTCTACTTATCTCTGGGACCTATCCAAAACACATACCCCACTTTCCACAAGGTTTGATGATTCTGGGTCGCTCTTTAAGTCTAACTTTTGGATGGATAAAATGGGCCTGATTTATCTTTATTAGAACCAAATGAAGACATTTTTTTTTTCAAACTTTTCAGACTCCCTAATCTCAAGATTCCTAGCTCAGTCACCAATAAATCAAACCCAAATGCTTAGTCACCTATCATCACCCAAATTTCTTCATTGGTCACCTATCACCACCAATAAATCAAACCCAAATACTTAGTCACCTGTCCCCAACCTAATCTCAAGATTCCTAACTCAGTCACCAATAAATCAAACCCAAATACTTAGTCACCTGTCACCACCCAAAACACATACCCCTCTTGCCACAAGGTTTGGTGATTCTGGGTCGCTCTTTAAGTCTAACCTTTTGGATGGATTCAGCTCTCAGGCAGAACACTGGCCACCAACCAGTTGCAAAAATGGGTCTGATTTATCTTTATCAGAACCAAATGAAGATATTTTTTTTTTCAAACTTTTCAGTCTCCCTAATTTCAAGATTCCTAACCCTGTCACTAATAAATCAAACCCAAATACTTAGTCACCTATCACCACCCAAATTTCCAACACGCCTCCCATAGATCAAACATGCACCGAGGCACCAAGTACCCATCCTAACCACCAATCTCCAATTCCAAACTTCCAAACCACCAATCAATCAAGAAAAAACAATTGACACGTAAATACCACTCACCAGTTCATACTTCACAACCCTACATCAAAAAAGGACATGTAAACCCATTGCAAACTTCAATTTTGAATTAAAATTAAAATCCATGACTTTTCCTTAAAAATGATTGTTGAATAGTTGAATAAAAAAGTCATTATTTACATCAATATAAAAAACTGAAAATACTAAAACACACAAAATCTTAACTATGGAACGTTTTCCATGTTCAATTTTCCATAGAAAACTTAAAATGCATAAAATCCTTACTATCAAACAGTCTCCATAAGTCAATGATTCCGTAGTTCCATTGAAATATTTAACAACCAAAAAGAAAAAAAGAAAATAAATGAAAACAATTCGCAGAAAAAACCATCTTTCGTTGTACAAAAAAAAGAAAAAACGAAATCCCATCAAGTAGGAAATACCTATAAAATTAAAGCCAAAAATCCGTTGTATTTTACAAAAGTAAAACCAAAAATCCTTGAGGGAGAGAGGAGTGAGGGCACAAATCACCAAGCTTGTCTCTCATCTCTCTAAAACCTACCTTTTAAACCCCAAATCATCAAGTGTTGTTAGTTGCAAAGTAACTTAAAAAATGAAGATAAAATATGTAAATGCCATTTCTCAGAACATTCCCAAAGCCACCCATTTCGGAAAGCACTAGTAGTGTCTATATTGGTTGAACCAGCGTTTCTGGGAGTTGAACTGGATATCCCCCTGTTCATCCTGGTTCGGTTGACTCATCACTTTGGACCCGCATTACTCGCTGTTCTGTTCTGGTTTTGATTTCACTGGTTTCTGTTTTAGGTTAGATTTAATTTTGGGAGGCATAGAGCTGGGTAGTATATGATGTTACTTTGTAAATTGATTTTTTGGTGAAAGATGATATACTTCTCTTGGCTTTTCGGCGTTGTGATTATATAAATGCTTTTTTTTTTCAATGGTAGAAAGCATCTGACTTTAGTTCTTGCACACACTGGTGTCTTTTCTAGGAATCTGTTGCTCTGATATTATTTTGTTTGACTTGTTATTTATGAAGTTACAGGATGTTGATCTTGCAAATTTGTGGGCGGAGGAGACTTTGATTGAAGATAACCTGATCTTGGACATTCTTTTCCTTGTTTATTATGAACCTTTTTGTGCTTGTACTTCAGAGCAATGGAAAAAATTATGCTCACTTTTTCAGGTAACTTCTTTATTTATCTTGATTCATTGATATGCTTGTGTCATGTTCTTCTGAGAAATTATCTGCTGCTTGCACCTTATGTCTTGTTGATTAGCATACATTTTCAGGAAGTGTTGCGGGGTACGTGTAACATTGGCCGGTTAGCTGTGTCAGCAGAAGCAAGAAGGTCCTTGTGCCATGTCAAAATTCAGTTGCTTCTCATGCTTTTAGAGAACTTGGACTTCGAGAATCTTCTTCTTATGGTCCAAGATGATGTCCCACTAAGGTTCTCATATATTAGTTGAACTTTTCTCATTTCCTTTGTAGTATTGGTTGGAGCTTCTTTAAATTTCTCATCCTCAATGGGCCTTTTCTTTTTTACTTTTTTTGATGGTTTCATCACTTCTTTGTTCTTGCCAGTCGGGGCCATTTTGGATTTTCTTTGGAAGAGGTGCAAGAGATGGACTGTTTGATATCAGGGTTTTGTACTTTGAATATGGAAGAAGCGGGGCCTTTGATCCTTGCATGGGCTGTTTTCCTGTGCCTTTTATCGTCACTTCCTGAAAAAGAAGATTCCAACATGCTGATGGTATATTGCATAAAGAAGTCTATTTTCATCTGTTGCATGCTGCTGTATGGTTTGCAGATTCATCCGTGTGAATTCTGATTTCAGGAAATTGATCATATTGGTTATGTTCGACAAGCATTTGAGGCCGCACCATTGAAGTACATTCTTGGAATCCTCCACTCGGACATGTTGGGAGATTCTGAGGTAAGCTATTTTTATTAAGAAACTCTAGTTTTAGAAGTACCTATGGCTTTTGCAATTTCGATTTGCATTAAATATTAATATTGGCATATGCTGTGATGCATTTCGGTCTCCTCTCGTTGTTTCTCCATTTCTTTTGGGAGTGGGGGGGGGGGGGGGGGGGGTATTCTTGTTCTACAGTGGTTGCTATGGTGTTGTTTTATATGTTAGCTGTGCATTACTCATTTTTTTTTCAGTCAATAAAGGGTCATTAATCATTGTTATGCGCATAATATTATTCTCTTTAAATTCCCTAGAGTATTTTATTCAGTATTTTTATTTTTGTTTAGTCCATCTACCAAACAATAGGAGAGACTTTTAATCTTGATTCACTATCAAGGATGTTATTCTATTGAGAATTGCAGGTTTAATTGGCTATTGCCATTCCATTGCTCTTCTTTGTTTATTTCATCTAGCATGTTGTCACAGTCTCAATACCTAAAATGCTAGTACAAGTGATTCAACATATTTGCAAAACTGATCTAGATTTCAAAACCTTTTGCAATGGGTTATTCAACCACACTGTACAATCATGCAAAAACATCCCCTTCAGAATGTAGGCATTTTCTTCATTCCTTGATTAAGAGAGAGGATCTGACCTTTGTCAGCTTCGGGTCTTCTTTTGTTGCTACTCCTCGAGTATGGATTAGATTCCGGTCGAATCTTTGCTTGAATTGCCTGACTGGAATCTTGGGGCATCTCAGTTCTTGGGCTTCTTTTAACTCCTAGAGTTGGAATCAGACTGAACCTGGTTATCCAGGGATTTGATAGAAAGTCAAAAAGGACCTTGGGATAAGATTTTAGGAGCTGATTGACATAGAATGGAGGCACTCCTATCACTTTTCTCACTTTTTTCAGACCTTTTTATAATGGCCTGTACTTCTTGAGTGTTTCTTTCTTTAGTTTTCCAGCCTAAAACTTTATAGCATACACAAAGCTTGCCCCATCCCCTAACCTATCTCTGTTATTTTTTGTGGATTTTGATTTTTATAACCCTGGAAGTTTTTGACTATTTATCCTATGGATGGATAAAGTGGATTCCAATGCTTCAATTTTGAAATACACCTTTATGGGTATTTTTTTAAAGTTTTGAGCACATATAGCATGCTCTTGCAGGAGTATTCTATGCAACAACTCCCCCGAGCAAAATAAGATACCTTGGTGGATTGTTTTGGTCCAGAATTTTGGGAAACATCTAAGTCACCAAGTTATTTTTTTTCTTAGGCACAGAGTATAATTTTTTTTTTTCTTTGAGTTTGGTCACTCATTTCAAGAGATTGATTCCCTTAAATTTGGGATCTAGAAGTTATTCCTAGCTTGAGTTTTGGCTGAGGGAGCAAATGGGCAGTATGATCCATGAAATCATTTGTTCCCTTGTATGGACTGATATGTGAAGTAGTGGTTCGCCATAGGTTTATTGAAGAAGATGAATCATGGAAATATTTTGCAAGGTCCTGAAGACTGTTCCTCTAGTAAATATTTTGCCACTTGTTTTAGGAATATATAAGATATATATTAAATTGTCTGCTAAGTAAATTTGTACTGTTGCAACTTTTCCATGCAATGTTCTACTCAGTTCTCTTAGGATATGCTTTTGCAGGGGCCTACTACTGGTTATAAAAGTGTTCTGAAAACGCTCATAGCCGCATTTATTGCTTCTTACGATGTAACGGATCAGGTGCCTTCAATTTGCTAACTTCTATGATTACTTTTTGGTTTATATAATTTTTTTGTGTTAAATGATGATTCTAAAAACTAATTCCTTTGCCTGTAACTATTAACAAACATTCTCGTGTTTGATATTTAGCTTGGACATGTTTCCTCCCCATCGGGTGTTCTGTCGAGGAGAACCTCCTTGCCTCACATCATTTGCAATTTGTCTACCTAATGGAGATTGATTTACTCCCTTGAGGAGCCTTTCCTATGCTTGCTTTTGACTTTAAATTTTATTGTACTCTTTGAATTCCTCTTGCATTACTAGCCTTTGAGGTACTCTGCTATGGCATCTATGTTTGCAAGTGGAAGATAAGAGAATATAGTTTCAGAAACCTTTGAAGGTCTCCAAGCCTGCTTGGTCACCATGAAATGTGTTTCTTTCTGATTTTCCTTCTGAAATTTGCCTACAGTACTTTTCCTTTCTTTGATGCCTTATTGTGACAAACGAATTTTATGGTAATGAAGGTTATTAGCGTTCTTAATTACTATTTCATTTGCAGCTGGACAATGGTAGTTTCAACCTCATAGTGGACATCCTTTGTGAAATTTATCATGGGCAGGTTTAAGTAAATCTTTCTGCTGAATTTATCTGTACTGGCTAATTTTTTTTTCTTTATACGCTTCCCCAGAGAATTTTACTGAAGCTGGAAATGGTTCTTTATTTGCAGGAGTCACTTTGTTTGCAGTTCTGGGATAAAAGTAGTTTTATTGATGGTCCAATCAGATCTCTCCTTGGTTTACTGGAGGAAGAATTCCCTTATCAGATGGTGAACTTTGTTCGCTTATTGTCTGCACTTAGTGAAGGAAGTTGGCCTGCTGAATGTGTGTAAGTTCTCTCTCTCTCTCTCTCTCTCTCTCCTCTTCTTATGTACATCGTCAGAATGATCTTTACAGCAACAAGTAGTTGCAATTTCTTCATTAGGTATTGTTGCGATTAAGGTTCTGTTTCTGCTAATTGATATTTTTGCAGTGCAAGTCCTTTGAACACATTCGTTCTAACAATGGTTAGAAAAATATCTGTCACAGATTGTTTTTGCCACTGGTTCGAACAAATTCTGTTGCAGTTGTAGGAATCCTCTTTGTAGAATCATTCCCACCTATTGCAGTTGTAACTGCCACTAGATTGGAACTCTTTGAGGTTAAACTTGATGGTTGAAGCATATGTTTCTGGCAGTCCTTATTTTTGCTCATTATAGGTGGCAGCTGAGGGGTGGTTAATCTCCTCGCTATAGGGATTGTGCTCAAATTAGCCCCTATCCCCATTAAAAGTGGAGTATAGGATCCCACTGGTCCTTACTACCATTGCATCCTTTAACTCCAGTTCTCACAACAGATATAATGCAGTGGAAAAATAACACAAGAATAATGATCTGATGAATTGGTTGAAATATGGGAAAGCTTACAAGCCAAGCTTCTAGCTCTCTGGTGAAACTATGACTGTCAAGACAAACAATATTCTACTTCTAAAGAAAAACCTTAAATACAGCTTCTGTTTACAATAATCACAATACCCTAGAATGAAACATAACTCCTAATTAAAGCAAAATTCTTATGACATTTCTGTCCCTTGTCAAATAAATAATTCCATAAGGTCTCTAACTACCTTTTTGTAGAAAAGAAGAGACCCTGAAATCCCTAATAAACTTAAAAAAATTCCTAATAAACCTAAATAACTCTAGAAATGAACCCTAAAAAATCTCATAAATAAATTCCTTAAAATTTAATTGAAAAAGAAAAAAATCAAGAGGCATCCTATCTTGCATCAAACTCCTCCGGTGGAAAACTCGTCCTTGAGTTTTAAAGTGTGTGCTAAGATATGTCCTTCATTAAAACCGTGGTCCTCTGGGGTCTTGGGTTATAGGTAGTAGGAAAAAATCGTCAAGACGGATCTTGATATGTATAATGAGGAATTGATACAAAGTTGTCAAATTCAACTATCCATATTGTCGCATTAAAAATCCCATTAAAAACAATAAACGCAGTTTTTCTTACCACTAGCTCATATGAACATATGAGCCCAACGGCCCAGATTCAATTTGGGCCAATCTGATGATCACGACCTCATTTCGTATTTTAATTTTAATTTTTTTTATACAAAATCAAATAACATGAAATTTAAGGCATCCATTCTTCTCATCAAGGTGCACCTAATAAAAATATTTAAAAAATAATTCACAATAAATAAATTGACCAAAATGGCCCTAAAACTTTTCAGGGGTATTTTGGTTAATTTAGTTCTTATAAATTATTTTTTTTGATATTTTTATTAGATTATCCTATTTTTGAAGAACACACGCCTAAAATTTCAAGTTATTTGGATTTGTTGAAAAAACATTAAAATTCAAATACGAAATGAGATCGTGACCGTCAGATTGGCCCAGATTCAATCTAAGCCATTGGGCTCAAATGAACTCATATATTCATATGAGCTAGTGGACTAGTCTCAGCATTTTCCATATATATATATA